TTGACAGTTAGTTACTACCGTAAAAGTTAACAGTTAGTTACTACCGTAAAAGTTGTTACAAGTATTTCGGCATATAGCCAGACTTTATATAACTGTCATAAAAGTTGACAGTTAGTTACTGCCGTAAAAGTTGACAGTTAGTTACTGCCGTAAAAGTTGACAGTTAGTTACTGCCGCCATATACTGGGGCTCTTATTCGAAGCTTATGTCACTTCTCCTTTTCACCTTCGAGCACCGGACAGGTGGGTGTCAGACTCTATACATCGTGTTACCACTTGGAAGAGTCCTGTGTTTATTATAAACGGTCGCTACCTGGTGTTATGTGCCACTTTTGTCTGTTTTTGCAAAGAAAAGCACTCCTCCCGAAAACAGAGAAGAACGGCAGGAGAGAAATAGGAAGGGTGGGAGAGAAAGTCGCCCAGACTCCCACATGCGGTCTGTAGTCCATAGGTGGCTCTAGCTCAGTTGGTCATTATTCCAGGCTGCTTCGTTGCGCTTGTGGGTAGGAGTCCGTAGGACAGAGATATGGATAGCTTAGTGTGAGACATATTGAGAGAAGAAAAATAGGGTAGTCAAAAATTCTCAAAATACAAGAGTCCCCCATTATGAGGAAAAGATAGCTGTATTTAAAAAAAAAAAAAAAAAATCTAAAAAAGAAGAAGAAAAAAAAAAAGGGCAGGAGAGAAATAGGAAAGGCAGGTGAGAAGCAATCCAGGGAGATAAGACTACCAGGAGAGAAGAAAACGAACGGATAGAAGGGAAGTGAACAGCAGAATCAAGGCGATCATTATTTTTTTTCCGCACCTCTGCCGCGTGACTACATCGTCTTCCATTGTGTCGTTCGGATTCGCTCGCCGCTGTAGTTCAACAACGAGATTCTTAACATCATTTTTGCAGACCTCACAAGTGCTTGTGCCCTTGAGCCTGAACCATTTTACAGCACAGTCCTTGTGCGCGAGGGCCAGATCTCCTCGGCACGAGCATTCGAGCTTGAACGCCTCCCCACCTTCATTCAGCTCCGAATGACATATGCGACACACAGCCTCTTCGACGGGGATCTCTTGCTCCTCCACCTCCTTTCCCTCGGAGTCCGTCAGTTTTTGTCTGTTTCCGCCATCAAGCTTTCCAGATTTCCCTTCAGTCTTTTCCGGTGAAATCCCGTCCGCACTTCGGGCGGCCTCGCTAAGCGACGCTTCCTCTTCGGTGACCAAGGACATAGAAGGGCGACCACCTTCTTCTTCATCGCCAACACCTCCAGCGGCCATGGGCGCAGTTTCCTGAGCATGGCTGAAATACCAGGTTCATACACATAACACATTGTCATTATATCAGAGGTAAGAGGCGAACACCAGGTGCAAAACACAACCCACCCATCACAACATATTTAAATTTCAAAGAACCACACACACACACACCTTCATCACCAACCCCTACTGGAGCCCCACACGTGCATCTCCTTAAGGATGTTCAGAGACAACTCATTATCAGCGGGCACCGGTAGCACACACATCAGGGGGGAAACAAACAAACTGAGTATGAAGAAGCATAACCCACTACAGATCTAAAAAACACAATGTCATCTAAAATAGCTACAGCATGGACAAAGTAACAGTGAGGCCTGCCTCTCTTTGTCACATTCCGTGAGTGGTGTGGCCATGGCCCAATTTGTCTATTTGCTGGTCATGGATGGGATGAGCCAATGAAAAACGCACATCAACAATGCACACTTGACTCAGTCCTTCCATCACCCACTCATGAACAGAAAGGCGTGACTCAGTCAGTTTTTAACTTTTTGTGTTTAAAGCTGACGTATTAGAGAAACCTCCAAAAGGCACCTAAAACAACAACAACAACAACTATCCTAGGCTACCAGGATGGCCTGGGACCACTTGCCCAGCCGGGCCCAAAAAACAAAAAATATTTTATTTTTTATTTTATTTTTTTTTCTAGGCTACCAGAGTGGCCCGGGGTCACTTGCCCGGCCGGGGCAAAATAATTAAAAAAAATAAATATAAAAAAATTGAATTTTATGTTTTATTTTAAATTTGGTGAAGAATTTCGATGTGACCCTGAGGCAAAAGTTGTTCAGTTTATTTTTCTGCATAACATAGTTTTTTTTCAGAAGTTTTGGATTTTTTTTTATTTTTTTTTTTTTGCTGGGACCTTACCTGATCCTTGCACGGGCTGGGCACCCAGGACCCGGGCGGCCCGGCTGGTAGCCTAGTTTTTTCTGCAATTTGGTGTTTTTTTTTTTTTTTTTTTTTTTTTAAAGGGCAACCTTCCAGGTATGATCCGGGCACTCCGGCCAGGTTCATATTACGGTTGCCATTGCATTATAAAAGCCGGAAACTGGGTCCGGCGTCCCTCACATGAGAAGCAAGGTTTGTGACCAAGAAGACCGACTGTGATCGACAACTTACGAAACCCAACAAAACGCTAAGAATTTTGATGAGACCCTGAGGCAAAAGTTGTTCAGTTTATTTTTCTGAATAACATGACTTTTTTCAGATTTTTTGGAGGTTTTTTTTTTTTTTTTTTGGCTGGGAGCCTGGGACCCTCTTTGGTCCTTGCACGGTCGGGCCCCCCGGGCAAACAAGGCGACCCGGGCGGCCCGGCTGGTAGCCTGGCAACTATCCAGATTTAAAAAAATGAGCGAGAACTTCATTATGCTACGGTAGTATACCAACCAGTTGCCGAACATCGGGGGAAACGAAAAAGCACATGTTGGGGGTGGTGAAAGAGCTAACCGTACACGTGAAGCGGTGCTCCAGGCAAGGGCTTTCCATCGCAATCTGTCATCAGCTCGTTCCCTGGGGTATGACTCCCAGCTGGAGTATCGCCAACCCGCCTTATGACAAGAACATCCCCGCTTAAGCGGTGAAAGCTTCCATGACGCGATAAGCTGTTGGCATTAAACAGTCGTTTTGCAACTGCAAGTGCATTTGTCGCACTTCCCTGCACTGCACTCAGCTCTCTGACGTACCGCCACCGGCTTGAGGAAGCCTCCTCTGTCGTCGTAGAGGGCCTCTGGAAGACCCCACTATCAGAGCCAGCAGGCAGGGAATCCCCTCCTGTGAGAGCCTCACTTAGACTGCTTCCCCCCGCATCACAGCTATGACTGGGATGCAGTGATGGGCTGCTGCCCCTTTGCAGTCCGACCTGGCGGAGAAGGGAGAGTGTCGTGAATGATTTCGAATGATGCATGTCAGCCTTTGGGCCGGAGAACGACGAGCCAGAAGCTGTCCTGGCCAGCCTTCGCAGTCTGTGCTACTCCAACAAAGAAAACACACAGCAAAAATGACACGGACAGATGAAGACACAGACAAATGTAAAAATCAGGGGCACACCATGAGGAAGCGGAGAAAGGTTGGGCGGGGGGGAAARARAATTGGGKGGGKGGTGGGGGGGRGRGGGGGGGGGGGCGCAAAAGGAGGGAAAACGTCTAGAGCAACGTGAATGAAGGATGAGACCAAGGAGGAGAAGGGTTGGAGGTGGCCATCAGACAACAATAACACGAAGGCAAGCTGCTGCAAGAAGAAGATGATGACGACCGGGAAAGCGTACAAGATCGAGATGGGGAGGCGGCAGTAGTTGCAAAGTGAGAAGCGGAGGGGTAGGGAAATGAACAGGGAACAAAAGGGGGAAATTACGAAAAATCCGAAGTGACGGAAAAAGGAAAGAGTATGATACATTTTACTAGCGTGGGGAAAACAGAGAAGAGAAAACACCAGCAAGGGGACCACATGATGGGGGCAGGAGGGGGAGGGGGGGAGGGGCTGTTACATGCCCAGTTGGGCGATGTACATAATAACCGAGGATCCGCAATGTGATAAAAAGAACTGAATGGACAATGCAGTGCAAGTAGAATCTCAACAAGCAATGTGCATTCCGATACATACAGAATGGTGCTTTTATAGCGCAGGGAAGACTTTAGATACAAGTCCTGACCTGACCGGGACTGACCTCATTCACGTAGCACAAGATAGCGAAGCAGAATGCTAGAATGCAAATGACTAGCCCAATCAATGTTTAAACGCAGACCAAACATGCATCATGTCCATCACAAGGTCTGAAGGAGCCTGGCGCTATACGCAGGAAAGAGGCGCCAGGTCCAGACATACACAGACGAGGAGGAGGGGATCAGACGAAGAAGAGGAAGGGGGAGATGGGGAAGTCGTCAACACCAACTCTCGTTTGAAGTCCCAAATAATCCCTCTTCGACATGTCTGAAGTCCAATGTCGAGTCTGGATCCAAATGTCACCAAGCTCTCTCTCTCTCTCTCGTAGTCTGCTGATGCAGTGAAGTCAGATAGTGGGAGGGTGAGAAGGAGATGGTGGACTGAGAAGAGGAAGACAAGGAACTCTCTCTCTCATGTTTCAGGTACTAACCTGTGAAGATGGCGCTGTGCTGCAGGTACCTCGAAGACGAAGCTGGAGCAACAGCGCTGCAGGTAATTATCCCTGGCCTCCGCCCGATCTCTCTCTCTCTCTAGTACTACTCTAGCTATGGCGCCCAAAGCTGAAGACTATTGCTAAGGCTACAAAGCGCCCAGCGCTGAAGACTACTGCTAGCGCTAATACTACTCCTGCAGCACTCCTCCAGAGTGCTGCTGCCGAATCCTGAAGACTACCTCCTGCCTCCTGACTACCTGCAGCCTGCAGGGCGCGCCAGTCTTATATAGTGCTGGCCCGTCCAGGAGGCTGCTCTTGCCAATGCCAAAACGTGCCAGACCCTGGGGTTGATGCTCAAACAAAGGTTGTATTGAAAATAGGCCAAAAATGGCCTGAGCTAAAACCCTGGTCTGGTGCCTGAGTTTCACGTCAGGTCGAACTGATGAGGGCCTGAAAATGGCCCTCAGTTTCAGGCTGAAAATACTCAGGGCCGGAAAGGCCCTGATTTAGCCTGACACGACACAGGGCCTGTAGGCCCTCATTTTCAGGCTTTCAGGCTGAAACGACACGGGGCCTGTAGGCACTTGTTTTCAGGCTTTCAGGCTGAAACTGACATGGGGCCTGTAGGCCCTTGTTTCCAGGCTTTCAGGCTGGAACTGACACGGGGCCTGTAGGCCCTTGTTTTCAGGCTTTCAGGCTGAAACTGACACGGGGCCTGTAGGCCCTTGTTTTCAGGCTTTTGGCCTGAAAACAACACGGGGTCTGCAGGCCTTCGCTTTCAGGCTTTCAGGCTGAAAATGACACGGGCCTGAAAATGGCCCGTGCAGCCTGTTGCAGGCGCAGCATGTAACACCCCCCGCCTGAGGTCAAGCCGGGCCGAGGGCGAAGCTGACGATCTGACAGTGGAACATGGATGCAGTTGCGACGTGGAGCCGAAGATACCGGCTTGCCTTGCATCTTGCGTTCGTAGCGTGCGAGAATATCCTGAGCTGTTGCTTGGAGTTCCGCACGGGTTAACCAACGGTCAGCTCGGTGACTGCAGTACACAAAGCGTACCAAGTACTCGGTTGGCCTGTTGCCGTAGCGTCGCTGGGAGATGATGTTGCCGACCTCTTGAAAGTCGTCCATAGAGGGTGGGTCTTGCGATCCTCGTCCAGGAAAATCGTCATGTTCCGCTGGTGTGTAGAGAGCCAAATTGGAGCAATGCAAGACCGAGTAGACGGCCAAGTGGGCGGGCACCTGAATGGTGAATGAAGGTCCTTCGGGTGCATCCCCGGCGGGTGCCACGATCGGCCAAGGCCCCATCCATTTTGGGAGGAGCTTGCGAGAGATATCTTGTTCAAGGCTGAATTCCGCGGCGGAAACCCAAACGAGATCGCCGGCGCGGAATGGGCAAGGAAGACGCTGGCGATTGGCCTGTTGGCTCATGCGTTGCTCGGTCTTGGCCATCTGGTCGTGTGCCTTGACAAGTAGCTCTTGCATCCGTCGCAAGAAAAGAAGATGGTCGTTGCTCTCGGCCACTCGTGGAATGATTGTGTCCAACGGAGAGGTGACCGCGAGCCGTGCTCGAACTCGAAGGGCGACATCCCGATAATCGGGTGGATGGACGAGTTGTATGCCAACTGGACATCCGACAGCCGCTCAACCCAATCCTTTTGGTCAGGACGGATGAGAGTGCGAAGGAGAACCTGTGCGGTCAAATGCGCCCTCTCCGTTTGGCCATCGGTTTGGGGGTGACGAGCCGAACTTGGCTTCAGAGATGAGCCCCATCGTTTGATGAGCGCCAACAAAAAATCGGACATGAACCGAGTGTCKYRGTCKCAGACGAKTTCCTTGGGGTAACCCTTGGTTCGAATCCAACYGGCGTACAGAACCTCGACCAACKCCGGTGCCTTGGCATGATAGCAGCAAGGCAAAAACATGGCAAACTTGGTGAGTCRGTCGACCACCATAAGAATCCCATCCACTCCGGTCTTGTSCTTGGGGAACGGGCCGGTAATGTCCATRGCAATCGCTTCCCTTCGCCGCAAGGGGACCGGTACCGGTCGCAACTCGCCGTACTGACGATGATTGYGGGATTTGCAACGTCKGCAAACCTCRCRTGACTCGCAATAGCGTGTGAYGTCGTCGAGAAGACCGGGCCACCAAAAGCGCTCGCGGAGTCGGCCAATCGTACGATTGACTCCAAAGTGTCCGGTGGCGGGAGCGTTGTGGAACTCGCCAAGAAGCCGTGTGCGCAAGTGTAAATCTCGTGGCACACAAAGAAGATCCTTCCCTCGCGAGTGGACGGGCAAGTACCCCTCTTGGATCCAATAGTGCGATGGCGCCGGATTAGGAGAGGAGCAATTTGTGTACTTGTCACAAAACTCGTGGTCGACTTGCTAGCCGCGGATGAAGTTGTCCCTCAAGTCGTCGTTAATCTCAAAAGTTGAGTAGACTGCGGTACAATGGTCCGAACGCCGTGAAAGAGCATCCGCAAAACGGTTTGACTTGCCCAGAATGTGGTCGGGAAAAAAGTCAAACTGGTTGATGAAGGCAATCCAACGGGCAGTGGTACTATTGACTGTGTCTTGGGTCTTGTAAAAGACCAATGGATTGTTATCCGTTACCCATCGAAACTGCCATCGATCGAGAAGAAAATGCCTCTAGCGCTTGAACGCGTGTACGAAGGCCAATAACTCCTTCTTCCGTGCGTCGTCAATCGAGTGCACGGCGGGCACTTTCTTGCTGAAGTACTCGATCGGGTGCCAGTCCACACCGTCATGTTGTTCGAGGACGGCACCAATGCCATAGCCGGACGCATCGGTAGTGACACGTGTCGGCAAAAGCGGATCGTAGATGCGCAACACCTCCGCGGATAGCAATGCGGCTTTAAGAGCCAAACACGAAGTCCTCATTGAAGTCGAATGGCCGGTCCTCGCATTGAAGCTTGGATAAAGGAGCCACGATCTTCGAGTATCCCTTGATGAAGCGTTGATAAGCAACGAACATTTGTGACGGTCTTCCCCTCCGGCCACGCTTGGATGGCTTGAATCTTGTCCGACAACGGACTGATGCTCTCCGATGTGACAAAATGGCCCAAGTATTCCAGCTCTTGCCGGACAAATTCGCACTTGTAGCGGCTGGCTTTGCACTTGGCGCAGCGGAGCGTCTCCAACACTCGTCGAAGGTGCTCAAGATGATCCTCCAATGTGCGGCTATAGATGAGGATGTCGTCTAAGTAGACTAGTACGAACCGGTCCAGCATCGCATGGAGCTCGTTGGTCATTGCCGCTTGAAAGGTCGCCAGGGCATTGGTGAGGCCAAACGGCATAACGATCCACTCAAAATGCCCGTATCGCGTCTTGAACGCAGATTTGTAGCAATCTTGCGAGCGTATCGAGATTTGATGGTAACCGGACTTAAGTCCAACTTTGAGAAGAATTTCGCGCCGCCCAACCGCTCGAGAAGGTCATCAATCCGCGGAGGCGGTCCCACATTGTTGACAGTTTGTGCGATAAGCTTGCGGTAGTCGATGCACAAGCGAAGATCCTTGTTCTTCTTCCGTACGAACAAAACTGGCGCACCGTATGGTGAGCTACTAGGGCGGATCCAGCCCTTGTCCAAAAGATCGTCGAGTTGAGCGTGGAGAACCGCGAGGTCTTCCTCGCTCATGCGATAGATGCATCCTTTCGGCGGCACGGCACCGGCCTCAAGAATGATCTCRTGGGAGATCGGCCGATCCGGCACCACACCGGTAGGAGACTCGAAGATGTCGGTGAMCTCGTCGAGCAGCCGCACCACTCGGGGGTTCGAAAACAAGTCCGTAGGTGAAGATTCGGTTGTCGCGGCGGCTCGTAGAAAACATAGGCCTATCTCGTCGGTCCGCTCGTAAG